AATTATTACGTCCTCCGACCGGATGCAGAGGAACATCCGGTTGTAGGCAAAAACGCGCCTATACCGAGGTGTACCGAGAAAAAACTCGGTACACCTCCGTATAGGCACGTTTTTGCCTACAACCGGATGTTTCTTGCATTCGGTCAACCGGACCAAATAAAATCCCGAAGTCAAGGGCCACCAAATGAGGGCAGCAATTGATAGTGATTTGTGACAACAACTAGGATAGTCAATCGGCATGGACGGAGGGAGGGGGGAGCTGAGGGGGCACGATCCCCCAAAAAAAAATGTTATTTCTTATTATTAATGTAGCATTATTATTACTTATTATTTATTAATATAAAAGCATAGTTAAATTATTACTTTTATCTTTTTAATCATATTTTTATAGCACTGTTTTTATATAAAAAAAATTATATTATGATATTATAATCACAATTTTATTATGATATATTAACAACTTTAGAATTTGGTTTAAAATAAATATTTGATTGTATTGATATTAGGATATTATAAGTTGAAACAAAATTTTTTATTATGATTATTAGAAAAAGTTAGCTACAAAACATTATTGGGCATCACTGCATTAATGATACTTTAGTCATTACATTGAAAAAAAAATATTTTATTATATTGATATTAAAATAATTATTAAACTTTTTAAAATCTAATGAGTAAGTGTCATAAGTTATAATTTTTTTATCATATATTTTTACCTTTTTTAAAATAATATTTATTCTCATGTTTGGATAAAAAAATTTGAGAGAATATTTGAGAAAAGAATTTGTGCCCCAAAGAAATTCTTGGCCCTGCCACTATCCGTCAGTGGTGGCGAGCGGCAGGCAGCGAGTGGTGGCACACGGTTCAGCTTTCAAATGTATTTTAAAATTGGGCAAATCTAATAATTTTTAAATACACAAAAAATTGCTCTAAATTCATTTTACTTAAATATCAATATTTCAAAACCTTCGTAATTAGAATGCTTTACATTCATCCAAACCAAACAACCCCTAATTTATTATTATGACCCATATATCTTAGATTTCATTTGAAACATCTTTCTCAACTTTTTAAAACTGTTGTATGAAGCAATTTTTTAGTACAATTTTTTTGAAAGCAATAAAAAAGCAACGACCAAATCAGGGGCAGATGCAGTGTGGGGGCCCTGATGCATCTGCCCATACTGACTTTGGCATTAACAATTAACTAATCCTATTTATGATGCATTAAGTACATATTAAATCAATATTTTTTTCTTTTTCATCCTAATAGCTATCTGCCTATCCCGCTGCAACTCTTCGACTCCAAGCACGTGTCGAACTTGACTGCTCGAAAGATTTAATCATGCATGGTTTGATGATCACAAAACTTGGTTAGAATATAGTATAACCAAGGATGCAACATATTATTTTTTTTTGTTATTTGTATAGACCTCAAATTGGAGAACAGACTAGTCATAACATTTTCATTAGAAAGGGTTTTAGAAATTGAAAAAAAATAAAGAATAGAAATTATTTTAACGATTTGTGACACCACATGAAAAAATCCTAGCTCCATCCTTTGGCCAAATAAAAATAATGGTTATAGTCTAAAAAATAATCATCAAAACATCAAATCAATCCTTGTTACTCTTCATATTTATAAATATATTTTGTTTAGCATTTTTTATCTTTGTTTTAATTTTTTTTGAAATTATTAATTTTTAAATATATTCAAAATAACACTAAATATTTTATATTTAAATGAATATAATTCATGATATAATATATAAATACTAATTTGGTCTAACAATAATTTTTATTAGTTGATGATATTTTAAAATGAAATGAACACTTAATTCAGCAATTGTGCAAAATTAAATTTATGGCACAAAGTATAAAAGAAGAAATAAAAAAGGCAAAAATTTTAAAAAATATAATCTTAATCAAAATAATTTTAATTTTTAGAAAAATAAAAATAGATCTACTTTTACTCATGTTAGATGTTTTTAATGAATGATATTATTTAAAATTTTAATCTAAAAGTTAATATTATTGTATAAATTGCTCTAAATTTTAACTAATATTCTAATTTAAATATCATTTATGAGTATATAATTATTATTAATTAATTTCAATTACTTAAAGATAAATATAATTGACATTTATTTTATATCATTTAATTAATTCAAATTATTTCAAATCAAGCATTTATCTATTACAATAATTTTAAAAACAAAATTGATCGTAGTTTAGGACAAAATTATAAGCAGAGGTATTTGTTTTTGACTATTACAACTTTTTATAGAGATGATTATAATATTATTGTATGAAAACGAATTTTTTTGAAAGTTAATATAAAAACAATTTCTTAGCATAAAATTTTTATAAAACAAAAATAAAATGATAGACAAATAAAAATTATATATTCAATATAAGAAATAAAATAGTAGAAAAACTATTCCAAACAAATCTTAAATCTTATAAATTCTAACTTAGTTATGAATATCCTGTTTTTGTGGCATACAAAAATTGATTATTTTATTTTAAACTTTGTTTAGGACAGCTTCATTACTGCTTCTAAAATGATTTTTTAATAAAAAAAATTTTGAACTAAAATTTTTTATACTAAAAAATTATTTTAGAAAACAGAAAGAAAATTGTCCCAAACAAAACCTTAAATCTCATCCAAATCTTATTTGACATAGAGACCAATCAACAACCTGCAACCTTGCATCTATACCAGTTTCAAGCATTTTCATTCATTTTTTTGGTTATTACAGCTGGAGATGGTTTCTACACAGAAAAATAATGATAATAATTCAATAAGCATGAGCAAAACAGTTTCTTCGAATAATCAAAGCTCAAGATTTGTAATTTCTCACAGTTAGACTAAGCAAGATCTGATCATCACCCTTTTCTACAGACAATCAAGATGCAAATATGGTAAAACCTGCAAATTCTCCATAGGAACTCTAAAAAAAAAAAAAGTTTCTGCAGTTTCATGCAAAATCAACAAGTTGATAAAATTAATGAATATATCAAACAAATCTGAATCATCAGAGCTTGTAATCAAATTGGCAGAATCTGAAGTGTAACACTAACATCATAAAACAAGCATAACAATTTCTATGATCATCATTAATACCAAAAGTAGAGCTTAAATTTATTTCTCTTCCAGTGCTCTTCAGAGAAGTATTCTCTGAAAAGTTAAGGTCCAAGGAAAAGATTGTCCCCTACTATAAAACATTTCAAATACTAGAGATGAGTTCCAACAAGACAATAAAACTAATACCTGACAATATAGAAGAATCATATTCGAGAGATTAGTAACGGTACACAAATGGATTCAGCCTCTACTTCTCCATTAGCTAAATGAAGCATATCCAAAGCACCATATTTTTCAAGCACACGCATCCGGCATTCTTCTGCAGCTCGCAGACCAGTAGAGTAGGCGGCATGAACAGTTCCAGTGAATTTCATGCAGGTTGCTTCCCCAGCAAAAAAGAGGTTGTCTACAGGAATCCGCAATCTCTCAAATAGCTCACGGGGTTTCCCAATGGCGTCATGGCTGTATGAGCCAAGTGAATTCTTGTCTGTTCCCCAATGAGAAACCAAATAGTTTATCTGTAAAGATTGAAATATACTAGAATTAGTTTGATTATGTAAGATGCGTGAAGAAGTAGAGAAGTCGAGAGCGTCGCAAACCGGTTCAGATGCGCCAGGGAGGATCTCTTTGAGCTGAGCGAAGGCAAACTTGGCGGCAGCTTCGTCGGACATCTTTTCAATATCATGAGCAAGGCGACCGGCTGGCATGTAAACAAGGACAGGATGACCTGTAGCCTTATGAAGGTTAAGGAAATAGCTGCAACTGTAAGCTGAGTTTGAGACAACTCCTAGGAACTCAACATTTGGCCAAAAGACATTGTCAAAGTGCAGAGCAATTTTGTTCTCCGTCCCAACAGCAATACCATTGATTGATTCTTCCTTCCAATCCGGAAGCTTTGGCTCAAACTTGATAAGATTGGCTTTAAGAACACCGAGAGGAACAGTAATGACAGCAGCATCTGCTAAAAATGTTTTCCCATTTTCGGTTGTAACTTCGACACCCTTCTTACCTCGGACAATATTTGAAACTCTTTGCAATGTAAGAAAATTCAGTTTTCAAATCGCAGATTCTTTAATCATTTAGGACAAAGATGAAGCAAAAAACACTGCCTACCTGTGATCAAGACGGATGTCCAAACCTCTTGCTAGAGTGTTTATAACAGGGAAGTAACCTCGAACCATTAATCCATGACCACCAGGAAGTAAGACTTCCTACACAAAAGAACCATAAGATCATGATAAACATATGAAAATTATCCCATTGTTTCAGCAAAAATATTACTTAGGCTTCATTTGGGACAGCCTTCTTACTGCTGTTTAAAACGGATTTTTAGTACAAAATTTTTAATTTTTGTACTGAAAAGCCTTAATATTCTATTTGATCCTTTGGAAGATAAGCAATGATGTTTACCTGATCCCAATGTTTAAGCGATATAGTATCCGCATCTGACGCAAACCAACCTTCCATTCGGCACAAATACCACTGCATTACCCGGTAGGCAAGTCCTTCTAGCCTGATTTATAAAGAAGAAAACAATGCAAAGGATTTAACATAGAATAAGAAATGCAAAATAATGAAGTATAGAAAATTAGTCAAGTGATTAAATCAAACTTCATTTGTGGACATCTCTCCATGACAATAGAAAGTGCTCGTGCAATGGACATATCCTCATTAAATTCATCCCTTAGTTTGTTTGCCTGAAAAGTAGACCGAATTAGCAAAAACTACACAAATTTCATAGATCAACACATTAAGGTTTCGTTTGGGATAATTTTGTTTGTTGCTTTCTAAAACAGTTTTCTAGTAAAAAATTTCTTGAATTAAAAATTTTTATACTAAAAAGCCGTTTTAGGAAGTAGTACGAAAGCTATCACAAACGAAACCTAAATGACATAATTAGCCTAAATCTTAGAAACATCATACCTCTTCTAATATTCTCTCAAATAACTCACCAACCTTTTTGACAAGCTCTTGAGGGACTTGATTCCCATCAGTATCAAAGAGGGCATAGCTGTACACAATACAGAACATCAACAAGTACCATATCAGTCTAAAACTTCAATCCATTTAAGGGAAAAGCAAATAATTATCACAGCCTAGTATTTATTCGCCAAATTGAATAAATAATTAGCTGCAGCCGTTTCGGCAAATCAGCATGAAACCGAAACTAATTTATGTAGAACATCTTAGCTAAAGTTTTCCTTAAGACTAGCTTATCATAGTTTGTTACTACTAACTTCTAGAATGTTCTTATTAGCATATAAGTATCCAAGTATTGTAGTAGGAAAGGATGATTGATGAATATTATATGAATTGAATCCTTTGAGCTTGGTTTGTTATCTTGTTCTTGAAAATTCTTCAAGCATCCTCTTCTTCCAACGAAACAACAATTACTCCCCACATCACTAATTAAAGTCTAAAATTTAAATTTATATTTTCTAGAATAAGTTCCATTCACTTCACATGTGAATAAGATTAGTAAATTAATAGACAGTCTGAAACTAAAGGCCGGTAAATGCTGCCAAGGATGCAGTACCTCTCAAGGTCATGGTCAAATAATACAGAATTGTCATTGCTGGTGCGATAAAGGGGAAGCCCAAGTCTTCCAATCAAAGGTGCCAATGGATTTTCATTGCAGACACCGTGCAACCTGCATTTAACAAAAGCAAATCATGAGTTGGTCAACAGACCGCAGAAAGACTAGGGCTTCATTTGGGACGGTTTTCTTACTGCTTTTTAAAGCAGCTTTCTAGAATAAAAATTAAAATGTTTGTACTAGAAAGCTGCTTTAAGAAAAGAGGCTGGCCAAGTCCAATAGAAATCAAGTGAGCAGGACATAGAGAATACCAGGATGCACCCATGTCAACAGGAAATCCAAAAGAGTAATCAGTGTGCACACGACCACCAACTCTATCCCTAGATTCCAAAACAACCACCTGAGAAAAATATGGCAGATCAGAAACTGAAACCACCATCAAGGAAGCATTACCATACAAAATTTTTACATGCAATTACATCAAGGAGAATTCACATTACCTGAAAGGATGCATTCTTGAGAGCACGAGCGGCGGCAATGCCTGCAAATCCTGCACCAATGACAATAGCAGAAGGAAGGGATGGCTGTCTTCTCTCATTGTCTGAATGGCAAGTGGTTACAGAATTGGAAGGGCAAAAAGATACACCCACAGTTAGTCTGAATCATAAAAGTGATTAATAAAAAGTATATATTCAGACATCCTAGAGCCCCCTTTTTGAGTAGCCAGAAAGCATGCAATTTTAAGATTGAAAAAAGATGGAATTTTTTTTATGCACAATGAGTAATGTTCATGAATGCCGAACTTTAAAAAGGATAGGGAATCATGCTTTAAGCACTCATACCTTCATTTTCAGAAGCAAAAGTCACGAAAGAGATCAAGGTACCCTTCTTGAGTAATCCCTGATACTAACATGATACATTTGCACTCTTGCATGGCTTGAACAACCAACATAACTGTTCACTTCATGAAACACATTAAGGATTTGATATGACCATGAAGGATACAATGGGAATATTTCCCCAAATGTTGATTGAAGTCCAATTATCCATCTATTAAGCTGATGGGCAGGGTTCCTATGGGCCTAAAAAGGTTTTGCTGGCCCAACAAAAATTTCATCGAGGACTAATAAAAGGCAAGAAAGAGAGCTGATGGTCCCTTCAAGAGAATAACAATGCACTGAGGAAGATGATTGAAGACATAGAATAAGAGCTTCTTGTAAAATTTCTTTAATGATAATGAATAGCAAGTGTTGCCATCTTGAAATGATATATGTCAATAAAAATTGAAATGCAAATAAAACATCCGGAACATGGAAAACATGGCTGGCAACACTAAAGATCATAGCCAGTTCAAAATTGACAAGAGAAAGAAGAGAGTTATTAAGATGAACGGGTTTGGTAGCTAGAGTAAGCTTAGTGGGTGGAAATTTTTAAGCAAAATCTATGCATATCAAAGAATCCAAGGGAAAACATGCAAAGTGAAAGTTCATTTCACATCCTTGGAAAAACAGACGAAGCCTTTTCAAGTGGTATGAAAACCAAACAAAATCCCGGTTCCCCAATGTGTAGTGATATATTAAAAAAACTGAATATTTATTAGAGAGTGCATCATTACAACAAAATCTTGATGACTTATAGCCTCCAATACGACACAAATAATGCCTTCTTCCCCTGAAAAATAAAGGGTGAGCAACTTCGCAGTAAAATACAAAAGTTAAAAAGAACAAGCTCCCACTCATCATCAAAATCTTAACATATCCCTCATATTTCCCACCCCCGTATAATTTCCGCAAGTAGCTGACTAAACTAACCCTTCAGACAGTATAGCAGTGTTTTCAAGACCAGAATTGATAAAAAAACACCACAGATTTGGCTCGTAATTGCTTTATTACAAGTATCACTGGGAGAAACTCCCATCTTTTTAAACAGGTAGCCGACAACATGAGCATGATCTTTTCAGTGAAATTAACTAATACATGAAGAACCTTGAAGTTTTTTTTTTTCATCTTAACTGTGGGCGACTTTGACATTAAATTTGCTCAAAAATCTCACTTAAAAAAAAAGGAGAAACCTTTTTAATATATGACACATCATCAAATTATACAACAACATTAAAACTGATCAAGTAGATTAGCCTCCTCGTATACTATTATGATTCTAAAAAAAAAAAACTTATATTTTAAACAAAAACTCGACTCACGTGCAGAAGCAACATATTAGATCCCCTAAAAACTAATAAACAGGAAATAAAAAAGGAACCCGATTCCCTAATCGAAAGTAGGGAATAGTTTGGTAGGGTCACCTAGAACAACCAACAAAAGTGCAAGCAAGGCGATACCTTTCGTAAGAAAATGATTGTTACGGCGCTCCATAACTCACAGATCGGCAATTCAGATACGATTGGCAACTCAAATTCGTCGTCGATATAGACAGAGATAATTGAGGTGAGAAATGGAGAAGAAAAATCAGAAGACAGGTGACGAAGTGGTTGGAATTCGAGTTCAGCCCTAGGTTGACGAACCAGCTCATGCGGAGGTTAATGGATGCCCTAGATCCGCTCAGTTGTGGAAGAAGATGACGGCCGGTGCGCAGCGAAACAGAGCTAGATTGTATCGAAGAATCCAATTGACCCCATGAATCCCGGCAAGAGGAGAGATTTTATGGAGAAATGAGAAAAAGAGTAGATTTTGAGTGGAACGAAAGCGAAGAAGACAGGAAGCACAGTTGATTCAGTTCTTGCTTCCTTTCTCTCTTGCTGTGCTAATTATGGTTTTCCTTCCTTATAGGAATTGTGTCTGATCACCTGCGGTGAGTTTATGATGTTGCTCATGTTGCTCCAATTAGAATCTGACAATTTCGATGTTACACGTATTTTACTGTCTTTTATTTGAGCTTTTTTTATGAGTTAGAGCCCGCTCATATTTTATAAAGTAGAGAAAAATTATTTTTATTCGAGCTAGTATTATGATAATATCATAATATGATAAAAATAAGAAAATAAATGAGATAATAGAATTTCACCTGAAATAAAGAAAAGAAATATTACTTAAATACTTTGAGTGATTTTATATTGAATTAATTGAATATATATTTTAAGTGAATATAATATTAATATTTTTTAAAATAGTCAGCTCATGAGCTGATTGCTTTATTCTTATTGGCTCAAATTTGATTTATTAGCTCATTGAGCTTGGCTCATAAATCATTTATCGAATCAAACTCAAGCCAACTCACAAGTAGACTAGACTCAATTAAACCCATGTAATGAAGATATATTAATACATCATCAAAAAAAAAAACATTGATTAATAATCTTGTGTATATTTGAATCATAAACTTTCAAAATCAAATTCATGATCATCTGAGCTTTGATTTCAACAAATTTATAGCCAAACTGAACATCCCAACGAGACAAATCGAAGCACACAAAAAATGGTCCTCATATTCTATAAAGTAGAGAAAATTTATTTTTATTCAAGTTAGTATTATAATAATATGATAAAAATAAGAAAATAAATGAGATAATAGGATTTCACTTGAAATAAAGAAAAGAAATATTACTTAAATACTTTTAGTGACTTTATATTGAATTATTGAATATATATATTTTAAGTGAATATAATATTAATATTTTTTAAATTAGTCAGCTCATGAGCTGATTGCTTTATTCTTATTGGCTCAAATTTGATTTATTAGTTCATTGAGTTTGGCACATAAGTCATTTATCGAATCAAACTCAAGCCAACTCACAAATAGACTAGACTCAATTAAACCCATGTAATGAAGATATATTAATACATCATCAAAAAAACATTGATTAATAATCTTGATGTATATTTGAATCATAAACTTTCAAAATCAAATTCATGATCATCTGAGCTTTGATTTCAACAAATTTATAGCCAAACTGAACATCCCAACGAGACAAATCGAAGCACACAAAAAATGGTCTATGAGCCCAAATTAAGAGCCTTAAGCATAATTAAAAACTTCAAAACATTAATTAAATAACCCAATAACCTTTATATTTGACATGATTATAGACAAATCAAGTGGTTCAACGAGACAAAATGAATGAGCCCAAGATCACTTAATTCTAACATCATTAAAGTACTTAAATGCTAATGAATGTTTATGATCGAAGGAATCATTTCGATTTGTCCATCTTTACACATGTAAAAATCTATAAATAGACCCGTACTTTCTAATTGAATGGGGGAGGAGTTTTGGAGTTAGAGCCCAAACTTTTGCTTAAGATTCAAAAGAGCTCTTAGGTTTTAAGGATCCCAGAGCATCACATCGAACCACAACCTGATTTTTGTCATCGAGCTAGCCGAACAACCACTACAATCCTCCAATTATTGTTGTCTAACTATATTCCTTTGATCATCGTTGCTTGCCAACTACGATCCTCCGACTGCCATTATAACAACCTAATTTTTAAAAATGGATTTAAAATAAAAATCTAAATTTATGTTTGAATTATAGTGTTATGGCGTTGAGCTTCTGAGTGATGAGGCGTTGACCTGTGAGTGCAGTGGAGCCAAAACTTGTCACCACGACATTCGAACCACAACCTGATTTGTGTTTGAATTATAGTGTTGTGGCGCTGGGTGGTGGTGTTGCGGTGCTATGTACTAAAATTCATTTAAATAAATGTATTTCTACTTTTACGTACGCTCCACTCACTCGCCACTCATGCCAGCAATGTCGGCTTGCCGGGGAAGGAAATGGGGGAGGAAAGTGGAGAGAGAAAAGAGAGAATTCGCATTTTAGTAGTCAATCCATTTTGTCGCTTTTATGAAAATTGCTTAGATTGTGGTAGGTGACTTTTATCCTATCTTTGTTTTCAATTATTTCAACCGTTCAACTTCTTTTAATCTAAATTTATTCCATTTTTCATAGATTTAGTGAACTTCTATCACATAACTTTTTATATGCTATACTATTGATTATTATCGACATTTTCACGGGTTGATTGTGTGATTTCCTAGGTAAAAAGAAAGTTATAATATTTTGAACGATTTGTGCAAAAAAGGAATTTTTATATTTTAATATATGCATACTACTAATGTAAGCGTTATGAATGAATATGAGCATGTGATTGAATAATAGCTAGTTGCTATTACTATTATAATATTGTGATAATAGTATATGTGAGGACAAGAAAAGCTTGATTTTATTGAGGTTGGCTGAGACTAGCAGACCTGTACAGGATGGTGGGTTGACATACTATCCTTTAAATATTATGATTTGATATTATCCTTGATTGATTCCCATGATTTACTGATTGAAAGTTATAAGGAGTTATTACTATTACATGCTGGAATATTCGCGGTGGTAGAGAAATATATAGTTTAATGTCTTAGCATTGTACGAAGATCTAACATGCACATATATAAGAGAGAGGGTGTAGCGTTCATAAGAGACACCAGAGTTTTTATGTGGAAACCCCTGAAAAGGGGAAAAACATGAGGTCTGACCCAGTTTGAATGAATCCACTAGTATTTGTAGTCAATAATAAATGAGGCCCTTCCTTAGAAGAAGGCCTTGGCTCGACGTCACAAATGTACATTATATAGAGCTAATTATATAGTAGGAGTTATAATAATAAACATAGACATGTCTGTTTGGTCAGCAGGATCATAGTCGATAGGATAGATGTTAAAAAGATCATAGTGGGCAGGAGATCGGGGTCATAAAGACTGTTGTCTGGTGATGAAGGTCAAAAGGACCATAGTAGGCAAGGGAAGTCGGAAGGACCAAAGTCGGTAAGAGACAGGGGTTTGAAAGACCGTAATTGTTAGATAGTACTCTGGGCGTACGTCAAGTGGTGGTCCAGCAGAAGTCCGGGCCTCAAGTTGTGGTCCGGCAGAAGTTCAGGCATCAAGTGGTGGCCCGACATAAGTTCAGGCCTCAAGTCATGGTCCGGCAAAAGTTTGAGCCTCAGGTGGGTGTTTAGCAGAAGTCTAGGCCTCAAGTGGCGGTCCGGTAGAAGTTTAGGCGTCAGGTGATGGTCCGACAGAAGTCCGGACCTTAGGTGGTGGTCTGGCAGAAGTCCGGGCCTCGGGTCATTGTCTAGCAGAAGTTCGGGCCTCAGGTGGTGGTCCGGTAGAAGTTTGGGCTTTATGTGGTGGTCTGTTAGAAGTCTGGGCCTCAGGTGGTGGTATGGTAGAAGTCTGGGAGTCAGTTCATGGTCTGGTAGAAGTCCGGGCCTCAGGTGGTGGTTTGATAGAAGCCCGAGCCTCAGGTGATTATTCGGCAAAAGTTCAGGCCTCATGTCATGGTATGGCAGAAGACTGGGCCTCAGGTGATGGTCTGGCAGAAGTCCGAGCCTCAAGTGGTGGTCTGGCAGAAGTCCAGACCTTAGGTGGTGGTCCGACAGAAGTTCAAGCCTTAGGTTGAGGTCTGGTAGAAGTTCGGGCCTCAGGTGGTGGTCCGACAGAAGTCGAGGCCTCAGGTGGTGGTCCGGCATAACTCAGGGCCTCAAGTGGTGGTCTGGTGGAACTCTGAGCGGTGGTCGAGGAGGAGCGAGTATGTAAGAGCGAGGAGGCAAGAGCGATCTCCGGTCTCTCTCTTGCTTGGAGCCTCCCTTTCAAGAGGGAGGACGAGTCTATTTATAGATTTCCTAGAGTGGCATGGCCTGTAAATAGGTGGGATCTCAAGGGCATATGGGGAGTGGCTTGGATGGATGGCCGATGTTGAATCCCTTGGTCGTTGACCATTTGAAGGACATTTGAATGCCTTCGTGATGTTTTAATTCTATGATCTTGGGCTCGTTGGATTCATCTCGTTGAGCCGCTCGATTTGACAAATAAGCACGTCATGTTTGGAAACTATTTGGTAATTTAAATTGTGGTTCGATCCTTCCATAGTGCTTCAGACCCATTTGGGCTCATATTACATCAAATTTGGTGTCGTTGGGTTCACATTTCCGAGACGTTCAGTTCGACTATAAGTTTGCTAAAATCCGAGTTCAGATGGTCCCAAATTTAAATTTGAAAGTTTCCAACTTGCTTTTTCCTCAAGATTTGTGCCCGTCAAGATAATTTTTTGAAGATGTATCAATACTATGACGACAAGCAAACAGTGATGACTTTGTATACTGAGCAAACAATTACTGATTAATGATTATTGAAAAATATTATACAAGCCATAACTTCTTAGTTGTTTAGTCTGATCATTATAATGGGTGTTATTGCACTACTGTTAGTGCATGATTTTACTATTTTACTGATTAATGTTATTATTATTGTATTATTTTACTATCACTATCCCTGATTTTAATATGATATTGACCATTATTGATACCATTATTGATTCATTATCATTGTTACTACCATTGATTTATTATTTA